CAGGCTTTTGTAGTAAGATCTAATCATTCTCTGAATTTCCTCTGTGTCTGTGGTTATGTCCCTTTTCATTTCTGATCTTATTAATTTGCATGTTCTCTCTCTGTCGTTTGATTAGTTTGGATAGGGGTTTGTCGATCTTGTTGATTTTCTCCAAGAACCAACTTTTTGTTTCATTGATTCTTTGGATTGTTTTCTGTGTTTGTATTTTGTTGATTTCAGTCCTCAGTTTGATTATTTCCAGTCTTCTACTCCTCCTAGGTGAGTCTGCTTCTTTTTTTTCTAGAGCTTTCAGGTGTGCTGTTAGGTCTCCAATGTGTTCTTTCTCGATTTTCTTTGTGTGGGCACTTAGTGCTATGAACTCTTAGCACTGCTTTCATAGTGTTCCATTGGTTTGAGTATGTTGTCTCTTTATTTTCATTAAATTCAAGGAAGACTTTAATTTCTTTCTTTCTTTCTTTCTTGACCGAGGTGTGGTTCAGTAGTTGACTGTTCAGTTTCCATGAATTTGTAGGCTTTCTGGGGGTAGCATTGTTGTTGAATTCTAACTTTAATCTGTGGTGATCCGATAAGACACAGGTGGTCACTAAAATTTTTTGGATCTGTGGAGGTTTGCTTTGTTACCAAGTATGTGGTCAATTTTCAAGAAGGTTCCATGAGCTGCAGAGAAGAAGGTATATTCTTTCCTATTTGGGTGGAATGTTCTATAGATGTCTGTTAAGTCCATTTGCTTCATTACCTCCATTAATTCTCTAATTTCTCTGTTAGGTTTCTGTTTGATTGACCTGTCCATTGGTGAGAGAGGAGTGTTGAAGTCTCCTACTATTAGTGTGTGTGGTTTGATGGCTGCCTTGAGTTTTAGTAATGTTTCTTTTACATACGTGGGCGCTTTTATATTCGGGGCATAGATATTCAGGATTGCGACTTCATCCTGATGAATTGTTCCTGTTATGAGTATAAAATGGTCATCTCAATCTCTTATGATTGATTTTAGTTTGAAGTCAGATTTGTTAGAAATTAGTATGGCCACACCCGCTTATTTCTTAGGTCCATTTGATTGATAAACCTTTTCCCAACCCTTTACTCTGAGTAGATGTCTGCCTTTGTGGTTGAGGTATGTTTCTTGTCAACAGCAGAATATTGGATCCTGTTTTTGTATCCAGTCTCTTAGCCTGTGCCTTTTTATAGGTGAATTGAGTCCATTGATATTAAGTGATATTAATGACCAGTGGTTATTGACTCCGGTTATTATTATTATTTTGGTAGTAGAGTTTGTGTGTTTCCCTTCTTTGAGTTGTGCTGGTGAAGGGTTGCTAGATGTCTGAGTTATTATAGGCAGTGTTGGCAATGTTGGATTCCTTGGGTTGTGATTTTTCTTCTATTATTTCTATAAGGCTGGATTTGTGGCTATGTATTGTTTAAATTTGTTCTTATCCTGGAATATTTTGTTTTCTCCATTGATAGTGAACGATAGCTTGGCTGGGTATAGTAGTCTGGGCTTGCATCTATGGTCTCTTAGTTTCTGAAGTACCTCTATCCAGGACCTTCTGGCTTTCATGGTTTCCATAGAGAAGTCCGGCGTACGTCTGATAGGTTTACCTTTATAAGTTACTTGTTCTTTTCCGTTTGTAGCTCTTAATATTCTTTTTTTAATCTGTATGTTTTGTGTTTTGATTATTATATGGCGAGGGGATGTTTTTTTTTGGTCCAGTCTATATGGTGTTCTGTATGCTTCTTGAATATTCATAGGAATATCTTTCTTTATGTTGGGAAAGTTTTCTTCCATAATTTTGTTAAATATATTTTCTGGGCCTTTGAGCTGTAATTCTTCTTCTTCTATCCCTATTATTCTTAGGTTTGGTCTTTTTATTGTATCCCAGATTTTCTTAATGTTTTGTGATGAGAATTTGTTGGATTTGCTGTTTTCTTTGATCCGTTCATTTATTATCTCTATGGTGTCTTCAGAGTCTGAGATTCTTTCTTCTATCTCTTGTATTCTATTGATTATGCTTGTTTCTGTAGTCTCTGTTTGTTGACCTAGATTTTCCATATCCAGTCGGCCCTCGGTTTGTGTTTTCTTCCTTGCCTCCATTTCGGTTTTCAGTTCTTGAACTGTTTCCATTACCTGATTGATTGTTTTTTCTTGGTTTCCCAGGGTATCATTTATGTATTTATTCATTTCTTCAAACTTTTTGTTATACTTCTCATCCATTTCTATAAGAGCATTTTTACATGTTGTTTAATGAACTCTATCACTTTCATAATGTCAATTTTTCCCCTTCTTCTGGATTAGGGTGTTCAAGATCTTCTGTTGTAAGATCACTGGGTTCTGATGTTTTCATGTTGTTTTTCAGATTGGTGGAGGAATTCTTGCCTTGGCACCTGCCCATCTCTTCCTTTAAATGCTATCCAATGGATCTTATGGAACAGGATCAGGTTCCCTTGCTCACCAGGGACCTCCTGACAAAAGGCCTACCTTGTTGCAGGCAGGCTATTGAAGCAAAGGAACTCCCACCTGCCCCATTGCCTTCAGCACCCCATCCCAGTGCCCAAACAGGCTGAGCTGGCAGATCTTGTGGCCCTGTGGAAGGGAGGAAGAAGGGAGGAGGTTCCTGGGTGCAAACTGGGATGGGTTAGGGAGACAGAGGCCTTACCAGAGGGGAGCAGCCCCTGCCAAATGACCAGGGAGTGAAGGGGGTCGGGGAATGTCTGTGCTCTGTTTCCGGGCTCCTACCCCATGCTTAATATTATAATAAGCTAAAAATCATTTCATTTTCCTAGAGACATAAGCTGGACCACTATCTGTCTTTTTTGTGCAGGTATACTCATGACAGCCATAACTTCTAATAAATGTATGATTACTGAATCAGCCTTTTCTGAGCTTAATGCAGTTGCCCATTGAAAGCCTGAATAAGTGTCAATGGTGTAATGTACATACTTTAATTTTCCAAATTCTGCAAAGTGGAACACATCCACCTTCCAGATTCTATTTCTTTGTGTACCCTTTGGGTTAGTCCCTGCAGGTAGCAGTGTTTGGTTATAAAAAGAGCAAGTAGGGCACATAATATATTTTGATCAATACCATCCCCACCCCTTTTAATTCTTGATCTTCAGTAGTTGATGCAGCTTGGGAAGACTAAAGAGGAGTGGCCTTGCTAGAGGAAATATGTCACTGGGTGAAGGGATTTGAGGTTTCAAAGTCTTGCATCATTTTTATTTGCTCTGTGTTTTTCACTTATGCATCAAGATATGAACCCTCGGTTTTTGGCTCCAGCTACTGCCATGATGGTGATGGAACCTCATACCTCTGACACAGTGATCTCCAATAAACTTTCCTTCTGTAGGTTGCTCTTTCTATTTTCACAACTTTATTTTTGTAGTGCTCCAATGAGCACCAGAGACATCAAAATTAAAAAAGGAAAAGACATATTGACTTGGATAATTTTTGCAATGTAGTATACATCTTGATGATTTCCAAATTGTATTTAAGAACTTTATTCTTGAGATGTGATGCAGCTAGGTAATGATAACTGAGTACAATTTTTATGACCCACTTAGTAGAAGGTGAGAATCAGTTCCAACCAGTTATATTCTGGCATCCACACACATGCCAGTGTATGAACTTATCCAGTCCCATGTACAAAATAAATAATAAATTAAAATTTTAAAACACATTGTACAAGTAAACTAGTAAGGACATTTGATTGCATATATGACTAAAAATCAAATTAATTGCAGTCAATATTTTCATGATTTTTTTCAAGTGCAAATGGATGCAGAAGTCAAAACCAAACATCTCCTTATCTAGCTGTTTTAAATTACACATGCTTCTATTATTTTATATTAAACACTATTAAGAAGTCACAAGTTTAATATTGAATCTCAACCTTAAGACTGATAGATTCTAACATGTGAAAGGGTGGCATTGCCCAAAAGTTTCATGAGCGCAGGCTCCTGAATCCTGGGGCTCGTGAAATGACCCTTCAAGTAGAGGTGATTGCTGCCAGGTCTGGAAACCTGAGCCTAAACACCCAAGTTATACACACATGCACTCAAAACAAAGAAGAAAGTATAAAATTATTAACCACATATACCCTGACTATATAATAGCTTTCTAGATTTATCATGATTGAAAGGCTTTTAAATTTAAGTGATGGTATGTAAAAAAAGAACATTAAATTATATCTACAAAAGCAAAATCTTATCCTGGGAATCAAGACTGTGTGCTCCGTGTATAAATAGACAAAGGCTAGAACCTCGAGTTCCACAAACAAATGTGAGTTCTCTTTATGTTGGTTAAACGCCATGTCATTGGTCATGTCAACAATGTGATTTGAGCCTACATTAGTGGTGTATCCACAAGTGCATTTGAGCCTCTGTAGTATTACCAATATTTCATTCATGGTTCAAGTTCATGGGTGTTGAAAACATGATTGAAAAATGGTAAGATTCAGTATTCTTCCCCCAATATCTGATTGGCGAAAAAGATAATAGGGAATAGATTCTAAAATGTTGGTTGGCACAACACATAAAAAGGTTCAGTTGGGAGAAATCCACACATAGGTTTACAAAAATATAGGAACTGGTTATGCCCAGAAAATAAAGTCCAAGTAGAGATGAGAAATTGTATTTTTGTGTAACTATCAGCTACATGTAAGTTTTAAGTTTCAAAATCAAGTTTTAACAGTGCCCCTTCCAGTTAAAATAACATGATATCATCTTGGGTTTTGTCTTCCGTTTTCTTAATAGGCACATAAAGTGAATGAATAAAAATCTATCTGAAACATGGGACAGCAATCAAACATCAGAAACTGATAATAAAAGTTAATTGTCCATCCCTAGTGAAGTTCTCCAGGAACCAATCTGCACAGTAAATGACCCAATGTCAACGCCAGCACACAACTGCCAACTAGGATGCTGGACACTGCTCCAGCCAATCATTCTGAAAGGCTGCTATATAAGGCAAGGAGGTGACTCTGAGCCTTATCAATCAGTGTGCTCTGGGCACCTGCAGGGCAGAAACAGTCACTCACACACAATGAAGGTCGCCATCCTCCTGCTTATGCTCAATCTGCTCGGTGTCTCCAGTGTGATGATGAATAAAAATCTCAAAAAGAAGGTAGTAGGCCTGCATGGGATGGGGCTGTGGGGGGTGGGTGTTCTTGTCAGAGACAGACACAGGCAGAGAGACAAGAAGACACAGAGAGAGGCATGGGGGACCGTGGGGCAAGACAGACAGAGAGAAAGAGGCAGAAAGACAAAGAGGGGAAAGTTGGTATTTTCTATGTCTTGGAGTGGAGAGTGACAGAGGAGTAGTCTAATGGCTGGTTTTCTGAAAGGAAAAAAAAACAGAGGGACAGAGACTAAGAGATAGAAACAGAAAGTAGAATGCTCTGGAAGTTAGCATTCTATACTTGTGAGAGGAGAGAGAGAGAGAGAGAGAGAGAGAGAGAGAGAGAGAGAGAGAGAGAGAGAGAGAGAGAGAGAGAAAATAGTCTTAAAGATGTTTTTTGGGAATAGAGACCTAGAGAAATAAAGAGGCTAAGAGATAAAGAGAGAAAGACACAGATTAATGCTTCTGAAGGTAAGTTTTCAGTGTGTGTTTGTGTGGAGAGAGATGAGAGAGAGGGAAGAATGTTTTGGAAGTAAGTATTCTTTATGTCTCTGTGGAGAATGGCAGAGAGAGAGAATGGACTAAAGAGTGGTTTTTCAGAGAGCTAGAGACAGAAACCAAAAGAGACACTGAGAGAGACATGGAAAGAGAGACAAAGAGAGAATGTCCATCAGTCTTGCACCAAGGGTGAGTTCAACTTTCTACTAAAATCTGTACACCTTCATCTCTTTGACATTTCTACTCCTGTCCCTCTTCCTATGAACAAATGGAAACCATGATGATGGATACAATAAAATAATTGAAAGAGGCTGAATTGTACTAATGTTTCTGTTTGCAGTGGCCACTATTTACTTTGGCCTGTTATCCAAAATTTAAAAGTAGGACTCACACAGATCTGCAGAAAAATCAAGATGACTCAATTCAAGCAAGAGTTCAGATTACAGACAGACACATTTCCAAGATTGACAGTAGGCCACATGACTGACAGGACTCAAGGGCCCCAAATTATTATGTGCATCTCATCCAGGGATCCCAAAGGCAAACAAGATGGTTACTAAAGGTCCTTTTTTATTTTGATTAACAGATTAAATCATTTATTTCTCCAACTGCATGTGCCCTTTACCACAAGGCATGACTTTAATCATATATATGCCCAATATTACACAGAAGCATTAAGTGACCAGTAGGGTAAAGTTATTTGAAAAGCATGTTTTTGTCTTACTGGACATACACTCAAAACCAGATCAGTGTGTCTATTCTTCCTACCTGAATACATTGAGAATATACTTGAATGAAAACTGTTCAGACTTGATCATTGCTAGGGATTTGGGAAATCCTACACCATCTTCAGAGAGAGATATATGAGTAGCCAAATGCAGGTGGGAAGGGAGTTATTAATGGGTTCTTATGTGAAGATCACTACACAATTGTTCACAGATGGGTATGAGAGTAGCCTGACCCAGATGAGTAGGGAAGAGAAAAGATTGATATATGCAGAACTCTATACCATTATTCCAAGAGGGGTTTGTGAGTAGCCTGAAACAGGTGGGAGGGGATAAAATCATTATTAGGTTCATTGCTCAGAATATGTACAAACATAAAGAAGCTAAGCCACCTAATGCATTATTACAAGGCCAAGTCATGGTTTACCCCGTTCAAGCCAAGTCCCAGGTTACTAAACTATCCCCTACTCTCAACTGCCTTGTTTTCAAAGCCACTTTTTTTTCCATATTGAAGGGAATTGGCAAACTGTTTACTTAGCTTCTAGTTCTGTCGAGAAGATAAAAGAAGGCTCACCCTTGAGAACCTACTTTCGTCGCATTGAATGTGGGAAGAAATGCAAGCAAATCTACCTCTATTTTTATGTCAAGTAAGATATAAAACAAAATAGAACTATCCAGATTGTGGGATGTCAGCAGAGAAACATGATGTTCTCAGTCAACATTCATGTCAGTGAACACCAACAGCACCAAATAAGGATTCTTAAATCATTTTGCTCTGTATGAGTCAAAAAATGACATATGACAGCCATACTTTAATTTAGAATGAGTTTATTGAGTGTGTGACAAGCCAAAGTAAAATAATAAATATCAAAAGGTAGATGATAATTACATATAGATGGCATATAAATACATAGATAATAGATATATCAGTACATAGGTGATACATGCATATGGAAGTAGATAGATAATAATTAGATACATGATATATATACAGACATACAGATAGACAGATAGATAGATAGATGGATAGATAGATAGATAGATGGATGGATAGATAGATAGATAGATAGATAGATAGATAGATAGATAGATAGACAGATAGATAGCAGATATATAAGTGGATAGATAATAGATAGGCAGATACATACATACATACATACATACATACATACATACATAGATATAAATAATACATAAATAGATAATAGACCCATCTATCTGGGGTGATCAAAGAAAAACACATTAAGTTGTAAAATGCATGTGGGAATCCCTATGTTCAAAACCAGCTCCTAGGGGAAGTTAAACAGCATAACACAATATCAAAAAATATACATTACGATTGTTTAATTTTCTATTTATCAGTGCTCAAAAACACTGTTGGGGAGAAGGTAAATTGTCCCAAATAATAATTTCAGTGCTTTTAAACTATCTGGATATAAGTGAAATTATCCATTGAGGATATACATCGATCTGTGATCGTGGAAGTTTTTATCAAATGTAGTTTATATTTGAAACTTTTCATTCATTAATGATTTATTTATAATATCAGTTTTCTGATACAGAATCTCTGTATATCATGCTGGCTTTGAACTCAACACAGAATAGAAAACAAACTTTTTAACCTTTTATTTATTATGTCAGAGATGTGCCTGACCCTACCTCCTGATGGCTGAGATCAAAATTATGTACCACCACATGCAGCCTAATTTTTTAAGTTTCTTTTTTATTATTATTACTTTTGAGAATGGCATTGAACTTCCTCTCCTGCATCAGTGTCCCAAGTGTTAGGATGACAAGCAATACAAAAATACTTGGCTTGATATTTAAATTTAACACACCTGAAATAATTTAAAAGGGCAACAGTTCAAAATCAATTAGGTGAACACACTAACATGTTGAAAGAGAGATAAAATTTTTATTTTTTAAATACTTTTTTAACTAAAACATACTTATTTCCTCCTTCCCTTTTCTCCCTCCAAAGCTTCTGATATACTCTCCTCCCTTGGTTTCTCTCAAATCTTATGTTCCCTTTTCTTCAATTGTTCATATACACATATGGTCTTACATATACAAATATAACATGTTCATTTCATATACTGCTATTGTATAAATATGATCTCAGGGCAATCACTTGGTATTTAAAAACCAAGTGGTTTTGGAGGAGGGAGGGCTTTTCCTCAGGAAAGACTATAAAATATCCTAAAATTCATATGGAACCAGAAAAGATCCAGGCTAGCTAAAACAATACTGATCAAAAATAACAGTGCTGAAGGGATCACCATTCCAGATACAAACAATATTTCTTAAAGCACTGAAAATGGACCCCAAGACTTTCAACAGGCATTATGGAACTACATCCCCAATCTAAACTGTTAGTTCTATCTTTTATCTTTTTGGTTGTGAGCCTAGCCTTTAATGGCTGAGCCATCTCTTCTGCCCAATTATTCCCATTTTTATAAGATAAAGACAAATCTAAACTGTGGCTGTCAGCTAATCATCACATGGACCTCTGGTAAGTGAATGTAGATCCAAATACATGGCCATTCTTGTGGCTCTACGGATCTCCTAAGAAGTCAGTGGACATCCCAATCTAAATCTCAGAAAACAACTAAAGGCTATTTAAATTCACAAGGCAATTGCTGCTACAGAATCTATAAGATCAGTGATATTTATGAAAGGAAAATTTTAAAACGTGATTACAGTGTAAATATGGAAATTAGACTATAGTGTATGGAGGATGCTGCATTGTACTCTGTATCAGGTGACCTCATACCCTATTAATCCAATGTCTACAAACATTTCTCATTTCAAATTGGGGTGGAACCTTTGGTCACTATTTTGTTTTTTTTTTTTCTTTTATCAATAGTTGTTCTTTGGGTATTGGGGATTCAACTGTGGCCCAGCATGTACCACAGATCCCAGGACTCCATCCTCAGCACACAGGTGTGGCCTATATGGCCAACATCCCAGGGCTTGGTGAGTGGAGGTGAGATCAAGTTCCAAGGTCATTCATTGGTCAGGGGTCAGGACAGGTGACAAGTGTCAAATAGAGGAACTGATTCTGTACCATCAAAGATACCTGCAAACCCCAAACAGGGTTATTGATGACATTTAAGTATGCTATTGATTATATTTAGAGATGATGTCATACAACAACGTGTGCTTATGACAGATCTACAGATGAAAATGTGGTTAGCATTAAACTGTCCTGTCATTCATGTAGAATCCGAAATCAGGACCCTGGAGCAATCCAAAATAAGACAACATCCATGCATTTGTTTTTCAGGAAAGGGACCAACTGCCAGAAGTATGAAATCATAGGAAAGAAAAGGCAAGAATTTTACCAGGCACAGTGTGAGTAGATGATTCCAGGGCAAACGCATGACACTATTTTTTTTTAATTCACAATCTTAGTTGTATTTTGCATATCTGGATATCTACATTCCAGTGCAAACATCTCTACAAATTAAAAATGCAATCTTGGAGAAAGCCCCTTCAATTTCTTCCTTGTCGTTTTGGATCTAATAGCAGACTTTGTTTTGCTGTTATGGTTGTTGCTATTTGGTTTTGGTTTTGTTCTTAGGTGACATTTTAAAACATTAAACTGTGTTTGTACCAGGTACACTTCCCTCCTGTAGCTTTAGGCCTAAACTAAATCACAGACATGAGTCTGAGAATGGTTAAAAGAATCAAAAAGTGATTTGAGCATTTAAAAAAAAGATGCAAAATAAAAACTAGGATTTTCTCATTGATTAAAATGACTCCCAGAAATTTTCAAAAACTAATCTTGTAATGCATAATTATGAACTAACTAAATTTCATAATTTTATTGGGGATAAAAATTATTTACAGTATATAAGTGTAATCGTCATGAATAGTCCTATCTTTTAAATTCAGGAGTATGACCTAAAATATGCAGAGATCCACTTATAAATAATGAATCAGTTTAATTTGTCCAAAACAGGTGTTAAGAATCCTTTTATTATTTTGTATTCCACCATCAATAGTCTATTTAGCCCAATTCAATAAAACAGACAGACCGCACATGCCACCGACTCTAGCTCAGTTTATCAGTGAGTTTATTGGACTTAAATACAGGAGCAGACTCAACTCACATGCAGATACCTCACCAAAAATCTCACCCCCTTTTGTGTATTATGTAATTTCAGGAGACATTCTGTGAGTTTGAGGCCAGCCCGGTCTTCATAGCAAGTTTCAAACCAACCAGGGTCTCGGAACGAAAATGACTTACCACTGACATGAGAAGGAACAGTCATCATATCACTCGGGAGGGTCTTATGTCTGTCCCTTCCCCTCTTTAACAAGAAATGTTAGTAAGCCGGTGGGTGTACTGAAGTCACTTACAAGAGTATGTGTGACTCAAATATGGCTGCATTCCTAAGGAGCCCACCCCTGAAGAGTGGGTGACTCTCCTAGAAGCTGCATCTCTGGACCTGTGTGTAAAGCTAACAGGCAGCTGGGCTAGTCAAAGACTCCTCTGTCAACAGCTGTTTGCTGTTTTCCATAACTTTGTGGAGTGGCCTACTGAAAGTTGTTCTTTTCAAAAAAACTTCCTGAGTTTCGTGGGTTATTTACTTCTTGAATCTCATGAGCTCCCAATACAGAATGTTCTGGTTTGGAGGAAATTGTTGTGGCATCTCTCTTGTTTCTCTGTCATGTGTCTAAAGAATAGGTAAAGTTAAATAACTGTACCACTAAATATAATAGGATCAATGAAAATGCATATATATATACATATATGTGTGTTACTATATATTATATAATATTATATATTATATAATCATACAGCTTTTCTCAATATGTATATATGTAGATTATTCTACAATTAAATTTAATAGGATTCATGAAAAAGCATGCACATGTATGTATATGCATATAATCATACAGATATCCTCAGAGAGAAAAAGGATTGCAGTAATACCTTCTGTGCACCTACACATCCTGGTATCAGGAATATTGCTATCCCAAATCAATATAGGTTCTACATATTTCTAGGTAACTATGAGATACGAGATATGTTTCATATCTTTTTTTTTTTGAATTTTCGAGACAGGGTTTCTCCGTAGCTTTTTTGGTTCCTGTCCTGGAACTAGCTTTTGTAGACCAGGCTGGCCTCGAACTCACAGAGATCTGCCTGCCTCTGCCTCCCGAGTGCTGGGATTAAAGGCGTGTGCCACCACCGCCTGGTTTATGTTTCATATATTAAAGCAGAAGTATAAATTTGCTTTCTTAATTCCCTGTCTGTCTTGACTGGTTGCAACACATGGAGCAGAATATTATGGGCCAGAGACCTATAATCCATGTATACATTGATAAAGATGCATTGTGAATGAGCCTGGACATTCATCTTGTAATCATTATATTATTTATATGTATATTTCTTATCTATCTCAGATGAAGGAAAAATAACATTCATGGTAAAAATGGTGAATGAGAAGATATTGCTGTTTCATTATTTTAACAAGGACCATACGGGGAAAGTCACACGAGTAGCTGGAATTCTGGGTGAGTCTCACACATGGAACTCATCATCCAAGTATGTTGTTCAAGGACTTGGGTGAGTGCACATTGCTGTGTACAAAATTCAAAGTATGTTTGTACATCTGACTCTGTTCTTCATGTTGATAAACCGCTGAAACGGTGATGGACAGCTTTAACAAAAAAAACTTAGCACAACCCAAAATCCCCTGGAAAGGGTCTGAGTGGGGGATTTCCCACAGCCGACTGGCCTATGGGGGTGTCTTTATTGATTATTGACATAAGAAGGCTCCACCCGCTGGGGACAGCACCATATCCTGGCAGGGAGATGATGTTCTGTGAGCTTCAACTATCAACTGACACAACCCAGAATCCTCCAGAAAGGGTCTTAGTGAGAGATTTCTTAATCAGACCAGCCTGTAGGCATGTCTGTGTGAGTGTCTTGAATAATGATTGACACAAGCAGGGCTTTTCTTACTGTAGTCAGCATTATTTCCTAGACAGACCATCCTAAAATATATCAGGCTAGAAAAATCTGGACAAACACAAGCACATATTCTTGCATTCTTTGCTCTCTGTTTCTGACTATGGATGTAGTGTGTCAGCTCCCCCAAATTTCTCCCACTGGAATGGGCTATAACCAGGAAATTTACTGCAGAAATAAACCCTTCTCTGCCGTAAATTATTTTTGTAAAAGCATTCAGTGAGAATATTGAACAATGAAATTGAAATATTAAAAGTTTATCTGTTAAAAAATAAATACATGCTTCTTCTGTTGAGACATAGAAGATTTTAATAAAATTTCCACACATTTTTTCCAGCATTTATGAATTACACATCAACCAATCATCATGCCAAGTCTCATGTAGGTGTAGTCTGGGATTTCCATTTTCTAACAAAGCAGGAATTGAAATATTGCTTGACCACATTAAGTGGGTTTGTTGTTTGAATTCATGTCAACTGAAAATCCTGGCTTTCAGCATTATTGTTTCTACTTTACAAATCCTGACTCGCAAATCTTAATTATCATGTAGCCTGAAGTCTGATTGTACTGGATTCTGTCAGTTTCTCATAGATGCAAACCCTCTTGAGCTGACAAATTCCTAACCCTGCCATCAAAGGCACTGGAGTATATTGTATAAGACCCTCATTTCCTACCAGAATTAAACCTTTATTTCTTAATTTATTATGAAGGGATTATATTTCATGGGGGCATGTTACTCATTAGCAAAGGGTTTTTTTTATGCGTACAAGTGTCTTACCCACATTTAGGTGTACCATGTGCATTCTTGGTGCATATGATAGCCATAAGATGGCATTAGATCTGGTCGTGCAACACTATGTGTGTGCTGGGAACTGAATGTAGGTTCTTACCCATTCTTAACCACTGAGTCAAATGTCACCCCTCTAATATTTATGATGATTTCAGATCAGTTGGTTCAGCAATCTGAGAAAGCATCAAGAACCCATAAGAATGGATTCTAGAATATAAATGGAAACAATATAATGACATATAGTTATGATAGTAAAAATGCTACTGCTCAGTCATTGTTTTCTGGAATTGCTTTGGAGGCTGTGTAGGAGTTTGGTATATTGAAGTCTACATCAAAAAAAACTGTCGATATTACAAGAACAAGAGAACATGGCATGTTACATCCTGGGATCCACACAGTATTTTCATTTCTCAGAAGGACATAGTTTCTCATTATCAATCTAATGGAAGAAATGGGAGTAATATTGTGCTTTGGCTCCTCCAGGAGACTCAGCATTGGAAAGTATTTTATTAATGTGCTGGAGCTAATGTTGTGCCATCTTCTTCCTTATACACCATGAAATGCAGCAAAAGCCAAACAACTGACTAAGGATGAGATGACACAGTATATGGACTTTGTGGAGGAAATTGGCATTGAGGATGAGAATGTACAACGTGTCCTGGACACAGGTAAAATAGCAACCTGAGTGTGTGTGACTTTTCATGTTACATTTTATAATAAATGTTATTTTTTTAATTATCTGGGGTATTGGAAAATGGCTCTGGGGGAAAGTGCACACAAGCATGAATACCTGAATTTGGATCCCATGTAGAAAGCCAAGAACACCAGAGCTAGGAAGGGGTGAGGACAGAAGGAGTCCTGGAGCTTTCTGGCAACAAATATAACTGAAAGATCTTGTTTTAAAACTAAAAATATGTAGGATGAATAAGGAAGATGTTTAAAAGTCAGCCTCTTGCCTATATATGCATGGACTGCACACAGGTGAACTCACATGACCATGGACACACCAATGAACCATGAACATAAAAAAATTCTATATGAGGGGGTTGGAGAGATGGCTCAGAGGTTAAGATCACTAACTGCTCTTCCAGAGGTCCTGAGTTCAATCATATGGTGGCTCACAACCATCTGTAATGAGATCTGGTACCCTCTTCTGGCCTGCAGGCATACATGGAGGCCAAATGTTGTATACATGATAAATAAATCTTTAAAAAATTCTATATGTAATGAAACTTGACTCCTACTATCCTCTGTTCAGATATTCTACTCAAAACATCGCTTTTCTTTCTGCACTTTCATAAAAATAGCACATATATAGTAATGATATTATTAATATTATGTTAAAATAATGTATTGCTTTAAATATTATTATATTAAATAATATATTACTTTGATAATAATATTATTATAGTAAAAATAATATCATTTTTCCATTTTCACTTTCTTGCAGACACCTGTCCAAAGAAGATCAAGACTAGGTGAGTGTTTAGCTCATTTTATATCTTGATGTCTAATTCATTTCTGTTTTTTAATAATACTTCATTTGTTGTTTAACTTTTCATATATGTATATATTTTGATCTTATCCACTCCCCACACACACACACAATCCCTCCAACTATCCTCAAGACCCACCAATATATGTTCTTCTATACTTTGTGGCTTTTAAAATTATTTTTTTTCAGCAGTTAAGAGCTCTTACTGTTCTTTTTTTTTCAGTTTATTTATTTTTTTTATTGAGAAAAGGAAAAAAAAGTTTCCCCCTCCTCCCAGCCTCCCATTTCCCTCCCCCTTCTCCCACCCTCCCATTTCCCTCCCCCTCCTCCCACTCTTCTCCCCCTCCCCCCACTCCTCTCCCCCTCCCTCTCCAGTCCAACGAGCAGTCAGGGTTCCCTGCCCTGTGGAAAGTCCAAGGTCCTCCCTCCTCCATCCATGTCTAGGAAAGTGAACATACAAACTGACTAGGCTCCCACAAAGCCCAAACATGAAGTAGGATCAAAAGCCCGTGCCATTGTCCTTGGCTTCTCATCATCCTTCATTGTTCGCCAAGTTCAGAGAGTTCGGTTTTATCCAGTGCTTGAAGTTCTAGCAATAGCAATAAAACAACATAATGGGATCAAGGGGATTCGAATTGGAAAGGAAGAAGTTAAACTTTCGTTATTTGCAGATGATATGATAGTCTACATAGCGACCCCCAAAACTCCACCAAAGAACTTTTACAGCTGATAAACAGCTTTAGTAATGTGGGAGGATACAAGATCAACTCCAAAAAATCAGTCGCCCTCTTATACACAAAGGATATGGAAGCAGAGAGGGAAATCAGAGAAGCTTCACCTTTCACGATAACCACAAACAGCATAAAATATCTTGGGGTAACTCTAACCAAGAAAGTAAAAGATCTATTTGACAAGAACTTTAAGGCATTGAAGAAAGAAACTGAGGAGGATGCCAGAAAATGGAAGGACCTCCCCTGCTCTTGGATTGGGAGGATCAACATAGTAAAAATGGCAATTCTACCAAAGGCAATTTATAGATTCAATGCAATCCCCATCAAGGCTTTTAAAATTATTACTATTATTATCATTATTATTATTCGCTACATAAGTCCAATTAGTGCTATTTATGAATGGGGATGAGGCCATCCCAAAAGGCATGGGCAGTGTAATGTACCAGGGGCCACACCCTTAGAGAAAAAAAAAGATCCTTCCTCCCCTGAAGCCATCAAATGTCAATAGCCTCTAGTTAGGGGTGGATACTCCTGAGCCCCTCCCCACTCCACACCATTCTAGACTGTTGACTGGCTTTATCTTACCTGGGCCTTGTGCAGATGATCATGGTTGCTGTGAGCTCTCATGATTGTAACAGCCATGTCGTGTTCAGAAAACAGAATTTCACAGCTCTCCTTCCAACCCAGGTGACCACTGATGGCTGAGCATCCACTGTCGCTTATCCTCAGCACTTTGACCAGCTATGAATGAACCACTCCTCGTTGTTAAAAGTTGATGTGAGGCCAGTTTTGGAGTCATACACCTTTAATACCAATACTTGGGAGATTAATCTCTGTGAGTTTGAGGCTAGCCTGTTCTATGTAGTGAGCTCCAAGACAGCTAGAGTCTCTGTCTAAAAATAAAAAATAAAAACAAAGTAAAAAATGGACTTGACCAAAGTTTAAGGCAGCATAAATTTATGAGTATTTTTTAAGATGATAGCTTGGAAACAGGACAGTTTATCACCACTGATCTTCCCCTTAGGCTCCATGATCTCCATTGTCTTGGGCTTTTGACAAGAATTACAATAGAAACCCACACCTACTCCTATTCTTCTCTAGACATGAGAGCTCTCCCATGGAGTTGGCAACAAATCCAATCAGAAAGTGGTTGGTTCCCCTAGGATGTCCTTTATTGCACCAGTGGGCATAAAGCTGATTTTATAGCATGCAGGGTCATCATGGTGACATCATCAATGTCTTACTGCCATATACACACCCTACAGAGTACCTCCAAGTACTGTAGAAGCCAACTAACAGAGAGAGAGTTTTCTAGTTTATTTGAGATTGATTTCTTGATGCCCTACAACCACAGCATGTAGTGTCTTCAGCAATGGTGTCTTACCATTTAGTTATGGTAAACAACCAAGAGATACAGCAATAATCAAGTTATTTTGGTGACTCCAGGACCTCCCTTTACTTATAAATGATAAGGTGGTACCCCATAACTGGAAATGAGATTTTCATTGAAAAATCCACATCGTCTGGAAACAGTACTGTGTCTTTGCAGGGTTCCTCTAATGAAACTCTCTTGTTTTATGCTACATTTTAATTAGCTTACAAACTAGTAGATTTCTGTAGTTTTGGTTGACCCACCCTACCTCTGCTCTTACCTATGGCCCAACCACATCTACATCTGCTCCTTTAACCCACGGCATGCCACCTCTAATCTTGTCTGTCACCTGTGTTTCATTTTCCATTTTAATTATACTTTACACTTTTGTAACAAGGTCATAGGTTTCCATATGATTTTTTTCCTTTTTCTCCATATGAATTTTTAATAACCCTTCATTTTAATTAAACCTTCCATCATGCCCTGATTTTGCCTTTTTACATTCTACTCTGTGATTGAACCTTCCCGCACCAGTATTCTTCTTTATACTTTCATTTTAATTGGATTTAACTATCTCTCCTCCCTTGACGGGTCTGTCCCTAATGACCTGTTTCTAATTACCTGGCTTCCATACATACTCCAAGTTAAACATACAAAGTAAAAAGTACAATTCTAAAATCAACAAGTTAAATAACATACACAGTTTGTCTTTCTGAGCTTGGTTGATCTCCTTGAACATAATATTTTCCAGCTTCTTCTATTTACTTAAAAATTTCATTTTTCTCTATGGCTGAGTAATATTCCATTTTATATACTACAACACTTTCCTTATCCATTCATCAGTTGATGGACATCTAGATTAATTTCTAGCTATTGTGAACTTTACTGCAATGAGCATGGATATTCAAGGGTCTCTGTAAGAAATATTAAAGTCCTTTGGGCACGTATCTAGAAATGGTATAGCTGGGTCATATGGAAATTCTGTTTTAGGTTTTTGAATTTTTTGTTTGTTTGAGGTTCACGGTGTTTTATTTGTTTGTTTTAAGTTTTTTGTATATTGGAGACATTAATCCTCCATTAGATGTGTAGCTGGAAAAGATCTACATTACTTAGGATGACTCTGCATTTAATTGACAGCTTGCTTTGCTATAGTTTTTAATTCCACAATATTTGACTATTACTGTTCTTACTTCTTTGCCACAAAAATCCTATTCAGTGTAACATGAGGGCCTGGTGCTTGTTGGGGTTTCTGTACCGCCCCGTCCCCCAGTCATTTAGTTCCAGAGAAAATCACACAGAGGTCTCCATAAGATTATAAACTGATTGGCCCATTGGCTCAGGTTTCTTATTAGCTCTTGTAACTTATATTAACCCATTAACCTTATCTATGTTAGCCACATGGCTCAGTACCTTTTTCAGTGGGGCAGGTCACATCCTGCTTCTTTGGTGATTTGGGCAGGAGGGTGGAAGAGCTTCCTTCTTCCCAGAATACTCCTGTTCTCTTTGCTCTACCTCTACTTCCTGTCTGGTTTTCCCACCTATACTTCCTGCCTGGCCAATCAGCATTTATTAAAATATAATTGACAGAATACAGAAAATTATCCCACGCCAATTCAGAGAGTTCACATCTGTGCCTATGATCAAAGTACACTTCTTGCTTTCTCCTCTATCAGTTTCAGACTACCAGGTTTTACATCACAGTTCTCGATCCATTTGGAGTTGAGTTTTTTGCAGGATGAGAGGGAAGGCTCCAGGGCCATTTCTCCACATCTTCAGATCCACTTTTCCCAGTTTGTTTATTCTTTAGCAATTCTATCTCTTTATTGAGTAATATATACTTAGTTTAGGTCATTTTCCTTCTTTCAGTGGAGACATTGACAATATCCAGAAGGTGACTAATTCTTACTAGTGTTGAAATGGAATTCTCGTCTATGGGCCCAGTGTTGGGGAATGCAAGTTCTACCTCTAGTCTTCCTCCGAGAGTCAGTCTGGGACTTTGAGTGAGATTCCTGCTGTAGGGTACATGGGGTAAACCTCAAAGTGAAAGAACCTTGAAACAAGCATTATATTAGTTTAGATTCATAGAAACTATGGACTCAAATAAGTACATAACTATATAAGTTCTAAGAAATCCCAATTTAGGTCTTGATGTAAGATCATTTATCATATTAAACTTTTCCATATATAGGAAATTTCAATTAAAAATTCATGTATATTATCAAACATACAAAGTCCTGTAAAATGTTTTTGCATGATACATCTTGTCTCTTTAATATCTTGTATTTCTTGTATTTTCCACTCTCATCAAATATCATGCACTACTATCTTAAATATATTAAATAATTCTGTTCCAACCTTACAGATGACAGCATCAGGAATTTTCCAATAAATCCTTCCTGAAGCCTGAAACATCAATATGAAGATGGAGCTTCTTTTCTCTTAGAAGATCACATCTCCCTATTTACTGTATATTACAATTCCTGTCTCCATATTTTCTCTTTCATCTGTCCTTTCCTGTGTTCTAATCAGGGTTAGTGCATCTTTGAATATTTAAATAAATTTTTTCACTTGCATACACTTCTTTGAAGAAAGAAAGCTAAAGCACAATACACATAAGTATCTATTGGACTTTTTTAAAAGGAGAGGAGGGTTGGATAGATTGATTGAAGGTTAAGAGTGCTTGCTGCTCTTCCAGAGGAAATGTGTTCTATTATTAGTGCCCACATTGAGCAGCTCACAACTGTAGTTTCGGGGAACCTGGTACCCTCTTCTGGAGTCCTTGAGCACTGCACACAGATTACACACACACACACACACACACACACAGAGAGAGAGAGAGAGAGAGAGAGAGAGAGAGAGAGAGAGAGAGAGAGAGAGAACATAAATCTTATTCAAGTATGGATTAATAATATCAGATAATTTTGTATTAAGAACAATTTCAGGGATTAGGGTGTAGCTCATTTGTTAAAGTGTCTACCATGCAAGGGTAAAGCCCTGTGTTCAATTCTTAGAATACATGTGAAAAGCTGTATGGTGGGCCATGTCTGTAAATTCAGCACCAAGGAGGGAGGTTGAAACAGATGAATTCTCTGATGTCACCAGGAGTGAGCCTAGACTACTTAAAAAATCACAGCCCAGTGAGACACCATAACAAAAAATAAGGTGGATGTGCATTAAAGAATGAAAGATGACACCTGACTTTGTTCTTTGTCCATCGATGTTCAGATGCACACACGTGCATCCACAAGCACAGGTGTTCAACTACACACACACACACACACACACACACACACACTCAAGAATTTCATCATTCCTGCATGTTAAAGACTCTGCTACTATTGTTTTGACTTTTAGAAAGGAAGGTAAATTATCATATTGGCTGCTAAAGGTGAACATTAAAAGGTTTGTTTGCTATTAGTTTTATATCAACTTGGCACAAGCTATAGTCACTTCAGAAGGGAGATACTCAATTGAGAAAATGTTTCCACATGGTTGGACTGTTGAAAATGTTCTGGGATATTTTTTTGGATACATGGTTAATATGGGAGGGCCCAGCTCACTGTGGAAAACACTGCTGAGCCAGCCAGTAAGCAGCACTCCTACATGGCCTCTGAATCAGATCCTGCTTCCAAGTTCCTGCCTTGACTTTCCAAGGTGATGGGCAACAAGCTGTAAGATAAAATAAACCCATTCTTCCCCAACTTGCTTTTGATCTTGGTGATGTTGGAGATCTTAGATTAAAATACATTTTTCTTCTTTTCCTTCCTCCTTTCTTACTTTCTTTCTTTCTTTTTTGTTTGTTTGTTTTTCACGACAGAGTTTCTCTGTGTAGTCCTGGCTGTCCTGTAGCTTGCTCTGTAGATCAGGCTGGCCTTGAACTCAAAGATCCACCTGCTTCTGCTTCCCGGGTTTTGGGATTAAAAGCATGCATCACCACCACACAGCCACAAATAATTTCTTAAAAAAAAGTTGAAACCAAATGCTCAAATATCCAACTATATGGAAAATGTAATCTAGTACAGAACACCATAATAATCTGATTTTTATTTTTCTTTTTTTTAACTTTTTTTATTGAGAAAAGAGAAAAAAAACAAATTTCCTCCTCCTCCCAGCCTCCCATTTCCCTCCCCCTCCTCCCACCCTTCTCCCCCTCCCCCCACTCCTCTCCCCCTCCCTCTCCAGCCCAAAGAGCAGTCAGATTTCCCTGCCCTGTGGTAAGTCCTAGGTCCTCCCCATCTGTGCATTTCTAGGAAGGTGAACATCCAAACTGGCTAGGCTCCCACAAAGCCAGCACATTACGTAGGTTCAAAACCCCGTGCCATTGTCCTTGGGTTCTCATCAGCCCTCATTGTTCGCCATGCTCAGAGAGTCCAGTTTTATCCCATGCTTTTTCAGTCACAGTCCAGCTGGCCTTGGTGAGCTCCCAATAGATCAGCTCCACTGTCTCAGTGGGTGGGTGCTCCCCTCGTGGTCCCGAATTCTTTGCTCATGTTCTCCCTCCTTCTGCTCCTCATCGGGACCTTGGGAGCTCAGTCCAGTGCTCCAGTGTGGGTCTCTGTCTCTGTCTCCATCCATCACCAGATGAAGGTTCTATGATGATATGCAAGATATTCGTCAGTATTGCTCTAGGATAGGGTCATTTCAGGTTCCCCATCCTCAGCTGCCCAAGGAACTAACTGGGGACCTCGGCTTGGGTATCTGGGAGCCACTCTAGGTTCAAGTCTCTTGCCAACCCTAAGGTGGCTCCCTTAACTAAGAACTGTGCTACCGTGCTCCCCCATCCAATCTTCCTTCATCCCAATCCTCCCCCTTTCCCAAGCTCCCCCCCATTCTCCCCCTCTCCCGCCTCTCTCCCCATCTCCCCTTACCCCCATCCCACCCCACCCCCAAGATCTCAATTTTCTCCCCGGCAATTTTGTCTACTTCCCATAGACAAGAGGACAAATATATGCTTTTCCTTTGGTTCACCTTCTTACTTAGCTTCTTTGGGATCACCAAGTGTAGACACCGTGACCCTTGTTTATGGCTAGAAACCAATTATGAGTGAGTACATCCCATGTTCATCTTTTTGGCTCTGGGATACCTCACTCAGGATAGTGTTTTCTATTTCCATCCATTTGCATGCAAAATTTGAGAAGTCATTGTTTTTTAACGCAGCATAGTACTCTAATGTGTAGATATTCCACACTTTCTTCATCCATTCTTCCATTGAAGGGCATCTAGGTTGTTTCCAGGTTCTGGCTATTACAAATAATACTGCTATGAACATAGTTGAACAAATGCTCTTGTCATGTGATAGGGCATCTCTTGGGTATATTCCCAGGAGTGGTATTGCTGGGTCCATGGGTAAGTTGATCCCGAATTTCCTGAGAAACCGAAACACCGATTTCCAAAGTGGTTGCACAAGATTGCATTCCCACCAGCAATGGATGAGGGTACCCCTTCCTCCACAGCCTCTCCAGCAAAGGCTATCATTGGAGTTTTTTATTTTAGCAATTCTGACAGGTGTAAGATGATATCTCAAAGTTGTTTTGATTTGCATTTCCCTGATTGCTAAGGAGGTTGAGCATGACCTTAAGTGTCTTTTGGCCATTTGAACTTCCTCTGCTGAGAATTCTCTGTTCAGTTCAGTGCCCCATTTTTTAATTGGGTTAATTAGCATTTTAAAGTCTAGTTTCCTGAGTTCTCTATATATTTTGGAGATCAGACCTTTGTCTGTTGTGGGGTTGGTGAAGATCTTCTCCCAGTCAGTAGGTTGCCTATTTGTCTTGGAGACAGTGTCCTTTGCTTTACAGAAGCTTCTCAGTTTTAGTAGGTCCCATTTATTCAATGTTGCCCTTAAAGTCTGTGCTGTTGGGGTTACACATAGGAAGCGATCTCCTGTGCCCATCTCCTGTAGGGTACTTCCCACTTTCTCTTCTATCAGGTTCACTGTGTTCTGACTGATAGTGAGGTCTTTAATCCATTTGGACTTGAGTTTTGTGCATGGTGATAGATATGGTTCTATTTTCATTCTTCTACAGGTTGACATCCAGTTATGCCAGCACCATTTGTTGAAGATGCTTTCTTTCTTCCATTGTATACTTTTGGCTCCTTTATCAAAAATGAGGTGTTCATAGGTTTGTGGGTTAAAATTCGGGTCTTCTATACGATTCCATTGGTCAACTTCTCTGTTTTTATGCCAGTACCACACTGTTTTCATCACTGTAGCTCTGTAATAGAGTTTGAAGTCAGGGATGGTAATGCCTCCAGACAATCCTTTATTGTATAGGATTGTTTTGGCTATCCTGGGTTTTTTGTTTTTCCATATAAAGTTGATTATTGTCCTCTCAAGATCTGTGAAGAATTTTGATGGGACCCTGATGGGGATTGCATTGAATCTATAAATTGCCTTTGGTAGAAATGCCATTTTTACTATGTTGATCCTCCGAATCCAAGAGCAAGGAAGGTCCTTCCATTTTCTGGTATACTCCTCAATTTCTTTCGTCAATGCCTTAAAGTTCTTGTCAAATAGATCTTTCACTTCCTTGGTTAGAGTTACCCCAAGATATTTTATGCTGTTTTTGGCTATTGTGAAAGGTGAAGCTTCTCTGATTTCCTTCTCTGCTTCCATATCCTTTGTGTATAAGAAGGCGACTGATTTTTTGGAGTTTATCTTGTATCCTGCCACATTACTAAAGGTATTTATCAGCTGTAAAAGTTCTTTGGTGGAGTTTTGGGGGTCGCTTATGTACACTATCATATCATCTGCAAATAACGAAAGTTTAACTTCTTCCTTTCCAAATTGAATCCCTTTGATCCCCTTATGTTGTCTTATTGCTATTGCTAGAACTTCAAGTACTATATTGAAGAAGTATGGCGAGAGTGGACAGCCTTGTCGTGTTCCTGAGTTTAGTGGGATGGCTTTAAGTTTCTCTCCATTTAATTTAATGTTAGCTGTCCGCTTGCTGTATATAGCTTTTATTATATTTAGGTATGACCCTTGTATCCCTAATCTCTCCAATACTTTTATCATAAAGGGGTGTTGAATTTTGTCAAATGCTTTTTCAGCATCTAATGAAATGATCATATGGTTTTTTTCTTTCAGTTTATTTATATGCTGGATTACATTGATAGATTTTCGTATGTTGAACCAGCCCTGCATCCCTGGGATGAAGCCTACTTGATCATAATGGATAATTTTTCTAATGTGTTCTTCGATTCGGTTTGCCAGTATTTTGTTGAGGATTTTTGCATCGATGTTCATGAGTGAGATTGGTCTATAATTTTCTTTCTTGGTTGAGTCTTTGTGCGGTTTTGGTATCAGAGTAACTGTAGCTTCATAAAAGGAATTTGGCAATGACTCTTCTGTTTCTATATTGTGAAATACATTAAGGAGTATAGGTATTAGGTCTTCTTGGAAGTTCTGGTAGAATTCTGCATTGAAACCATCTGGTCCTGGGCTTTTTTTGGTAGGGAGGTTTTTGATAACCTCTTCTAATTCTTCGCGACTAACAGGTCTATTTAGATTGTTCACCTGGTCCTGGTTTAACTTTGGTATATGGCATTTATCTAAAAAAGTGTCCATTTCCTTTACATTTTCCAGTTTTGTGGCATATAGGCTTTTGTAGTAAGATCTAATGATTCTCTGAATTTCCTCTGTGTCTGTGGTTATGTCCCCCTTTTCATTT